AAGCCGACGTGACTGCTTCCGGAACCTGGGGCAAACCCGTCACAAACTGCCTCAGGAGGCTTCCTATCATGACATCCGCCGTTTGCTCTTTCTGGCCACGGTAGTCGCAGTATAAGCAACCAACCGCGGCATTCTGGCCAGTAGTCTCAACGCATAGCGTATCTATAACTAAGGAGCTATTACCAAGTAAGTAGTGGTTCGAGCGCATACGAGCACAAAAATTACCAAATAAATGTCTTCCCTGCCCCTGGGGCACCATGACAAAATAGAACCCGATCAGATGCCCGGTGGTTCCCGTCCTGCCGCCATGCCCGGAACTCGCTACTTTGCAGTACCCACTCTCCCACACCCCTAGCACGAGTACGAGCAACATCTCTGTGCTTCCTCCATGACTCCAGCGGCGATATCCATGATAGAATTCGAGATTTTTCATCATGGAGAGTTGAGTAATTGTAGGTATTACCGATATTCGAGTTTGTGACATTAAAGCTATTGCTGTTATGGCTGAACCGGTTTTGGTTGTAACTATCGCTCATGATTCCCGAATGTAGACTAAGAGCAGCTGTGAGAGTATCTTTCCTTGGAAGCAAGATGATGCTGGACGGAGTTTGAGGGATGTTGATGGTCCGTTTCTAGCAAAACAGGGCTGAGCATGACCAAAAAGCAATACCGCAAAATCTGGGAAACCCACTATCTCCTGCACTCACAATCCCTGCGACTAAGCCTTGTACTCGAGTACCGTACAAGTACAATACCGGTAGTCAATGAGGTTACAATAAGCACAGCCTCGTAGCGGTACGAGGTTGGCAGATCCCACGATACCGCATATAGTAGCCGCTATTCCTTTCCAAGTTAGAGTCTCATCAGGCCGGAGATAGTGGATTGTATCCTGCCAGAAAGTGAAGCCTTGGGTTTCACTTTGGTCTCAGCAGTGATTACTAAGCATATCTGCACTAAAGCTCTGCGCTCCCTCTACTCGTGTATGATAGCCTACCTGTTCTGGATTACCATGACGAATCTGCTTAGTAACCACTCCCAGGGCCAAAGTCAAACCCAAGGTTTGACCCATCCTCCTCACTTAAGCGTGCCTATAGTATACTCTTCATACGTTTGTATCTTGTTACGGGTCATTAAGATCATACCTACAGCACACAATTTGGACATAGGTTTCACAAATAGTCCCGGTTCAAGCCCCCGGAACCAACATCTGATCCCCCAGGAATTGCATGCGAAAGGTAGACCTTCACGATTCCTTCAACATGGGACGCGGCCACAAGACCCGACTGGAAGTTACTCGAGCGCCCAAGAAAAACCAGCCAAACGTACTTCAGTCCGTTAGGGTTAGTCGGCTACCCCCCTCCTATCCTAGAGCATTCACGAAATCTGTTCCCCCATGCTTTACTTGCTAGAAAGGTTCGGAACGTCCCGGTAACCGCGAGTCTCACAGCTTTTCGTCAACTTGTCTCCTGCCCCGTTGATTTCTAGGGAAAGCGGACGATGCCGATGCCAGATGGCACTCGAAACACGATCTGTGGGAGAGTGCGACGGACTGCGTGGGGGCTGGGTTGATGATAGGGGGGGCTGGGGGTGATATTATAGCACGATTTGTGGGTGACTCAAAAGAGTGGGAGTCTTGGCATTATCTTTCTTTTGTGATGGAGGATCGCAGAAAATGGTCCTTTCCCTTGTTACCAGTCCGAAAGCTATGGAGGAGCAAAGAGTCCTATAGCGAGCAGGAGACAGTTTCGCAGTTTCTAATCTTTGCCATAGGGAGTTCTGTGTTTTCCAGATGTTAAAATAGATAGAGTTAACACGCCTAAGGCCCAAACGCACTGGATGAGGAACCCCAGAGTCCGTGTCGCAAAATCAACCCGACCCTTTACCGCGATTGAGCCCGTTCCGGCAATGGTAGAGTGTGAAAGCCGTCTCATGAAAAAGTGTCCAACATTCGAGTGATTCGGGATGCGCCCCACGCGTTCCTGGAGAGGGGTGACACTAGTATAACAAAATCAAAATAATAAGGAACGCGAGAAGCATAAGTTACCCCTCATAGTACCGTGTGTGTGTTGCAGACCGCCTACGCATTTCTACACATTAACGCTCTCCTTGCTCCAGCACGGATGCACGGTCCCATCTGTTTCTCTAAGCAGGATGTGATTTTCTCTCCTTTCTTCGAGATTATTCCATTGCACTTTTCCTCAATTAATCAGTGAATCATCATCCAGACCCGTGGCACCCCCACTTCGCTATTCGCAACACAATTTACAACATAACCGTATCTCATTCACAGCAGAGTTAGCCCTTCGCCCATGCCACTTAGTATTTCATCAAAATTACGCCAAATATATCAGTGGCTATAATATTAAGCCATGATATTAGATCTCCAGGCGGAAAGGTGGCCGAGCGAGAACACACGAGCAACAAAAGAGCCCCTTCGCCTGCCTGCTCCCATGAGTAAATCTGCAGCAAGCATATTAGGCCGTTTCAGTAGGGGATCCTCTCTTGGGTTCTCGCGGTAGGTAAAATACATGTTACTGAAAATCTGTTATTACTTAGTATGTTTTGCAACTTAGATAAGCTAACAAGCGTGTGGCAAGTACAGTACAGCATCCTGCATCGCTTATCCGTGGTGGATTTGTGGGCACAGTGCCCGAATCCTGAATCCCGCACCGGCGGTGTTGGCTTTCTCTTGTCTCTCAGTTTCATAGGATGCGGAGGGCTTACCTGCTTGCATTTCGCCGGTGATATCAGGTCCCCACACACCCTCTACGGTATGGTGTAGTACGGTATCATAAAAGATTATGACTTATATACATTGTTATTATACTAGACTATTATTTGAATTTTGGGTTCTGCCTAATGAGCGCAAGCCCCCACCCTGCGCTGGGTCCAGAGGGAGAATATCTTCCATGTTGACAACTTATCCACGTCTGAAAACACCCAGCATAGAGTAGCAAAAAAGAAACAAACAAACAGGTCAGAAACCTAGTTAAAGTATACTTAGAGCACGTAGTAGAGAATGGCTCTCGGTGGGGAGGGGGGGGACAGAATAAGGTAATAAAGGAAAATCCCTCTGAAATAACAGTGGAAGGGGCGTCAAATTGGAGCAGCGGACGACGGAAAAGTGGGAGAAGGCCCAATACAAGGTCGGAAGGAGGGAGGGCGCCGAGTGGTGTGAGGTGAGGGTGGTGATCGCGAAGCTCGAGAAGAGAGACAGAAGAAGCGGTACGGGATGATGGCCAATTGGTTGAGGGATTTACCAACGAGCCTTTGGTAAACTTACTATTCCATGGTATTGGTTAAGAAACCCAAGCGCAAAACGCTTCCCAGACTCTATAATCTCCTTCCGGGCATGGGAATAAGTCAAGAAGTGGGAATGCAGGTGGTGTAGTTTGAATAGTAGGATCGACCGAAAGGGTTCTCAAAATCTCCATGAAATCAAAAGGTATCCCGTGATGAGAACAGCCCCGAGTGTGGTCGTTCCAAAACTAGACTTTGAATTAATATTAACGTCGTTCCTCAGTTTGTGCGCCCGTTAGGTTCCCTTTTTGTGCCACATAGTGGTGAGTAACCCCAAAGGCCCGCAAGCTTAGTTTAAACTCTTTTGTCTTCTAGAATGGGAAGAAGGTTTCCCACACAGATCCCGGTGAACTGGGCAAAATAAAGGTACCCTTAAACAGCTGCCTCCGGGATTAACATCGCTATTCCAAAACAACGATTGAAGAATTCAGGCAATAGCTCGATTCACAAGGCCAGCAGAGCAGTGTAACAATGCCAGACCACTCCGGTGCAAAAGGAGAACCCTCGGGTCTCTCACTAAATTAACCCCCCGACAATACGCAATTGGTGATTTTCATGAGCCAGCTTCATTGCCAATAATAAGCCATCCCTATCCCCGATATTAACTCCAATAGCTTCCTAACGTAGAAACAATTCCACCACCCCAAATTGGGCGATTCTAATTGCGAGGTACTGTACATAGCACAGAACTACCCTCCTCGAGCAGAAAGTGGCGTTAATGTCGGAGTGGCTGTGCTCTATCACCTATAACCATGGGAATTCACACCAGCACCATGACGCGCCAATCGTATTCACTCAGGCGTTGGCGACAACTCCGGAAAGAGGCGATCAGCTTGGTTTGTCTAAGTAAGCAGCGCCAAGACCACACACTTGAGCAATAGTTCAATAGATTTTGCATTCAATCCGTCCGTCATCCCCTACCAACGCCCAACGGCTGAGACACAAACCAATTCCCTCGTTCAAAAGGCATTCAATCAATCCCTCGACATACCGTTTCTCTGCAAAATACGCTATATAAGGCGTGAAAGCAACAGCCGAAGATACTCCCCAAAAGAGACTCTCCCAGAACACCGCGGTCACTCAAGCGCAATCGAAGCATTACCGCCGGGTGATGGCATGTTTCATGAAAAAAAAAAGCGGCTTAACTCACCAGGAGGCAGGGACCGACATAAGGCGAGAATCACCTCGCCTGGAAAAGGATAGGACCCGCAGTTACCACTCTTGTTGGATTTACTCGAGTACTTTGTTTGATTTGGTGAGGCGATTGCGTGACGAAAATCCCAGAGATTGGAGATCGTGAGAGACTCGGAACTACTCTAGAACACTGTTGGATCGAATTGGCCTTACAGTAAGTATCGCTGTGCGCCCGCCTCTTCAAAACACAATAACCCTACAGTAAATCACTACACTGAATTACAGTACCTGTATTCCATCAAATAATAGGGATCCTAGTCGCTACCCTCGCACAGGAATTCCTCGTAGATAGCGGTATATAGCCTGTATAAGGAGGCGAGAGGCTCGGCTCAAGACTGGTATCCCGCGCCCACGCACCCGAGAACCTATATCATCTCTATTCTTAATGATCCTTCGATAGCTTATGTCGGGGCCCGCTTGTCCGCTCTGAATAACTCGACCAGATATAAAACCTCGCCAATCTCTCCCAGAATTCCTCTTCTAAAATTCTCTAATCCGGAGTTAATCTTTCATATATAGTGACTTCCTATATCTATCCAAGGCATTGGACCCCCCTCCCCCGCAATTGGTCACCCTAAAACTCCCTTGACCACAGCCTAACATCTTTTCACTCGTAGACCCTGACTCGAATTCAAATACGGTATTCGATGCCAAGAGGTCCAGTCACAAAGTGCCCTTGAAACCGTTAGCCAGTCACGTTGGGCACAGCACGAGACCTAAAGCGAGGTCCACAACGGGTCCCGTGGCCCATTTTCATACCCAGGTCCAATCTACGGTAACAGTGATTCAGAATTCATAGCTCTTCCCAATCCAGTTTAACAACATTTTAGTGAGTTAACCACCATTACCGTAATTATTCCATCTCACAACTCGTCACTCGCAACCTCTAACTTCTTTCTGGTTTCCTTTTTTAAAAAAAGACCTCCGCCACGAGGGCACACCTTCGCGGGCAGAGCAAAACACGATCAAGGAATGACTAGTGTCCAATCACCCCGCTCCACGTCCAGAAGGTATAGTTCAAATCAAATGACTCACCTCACTATATAAACGTTCTCGACCCCGACCCGTTGGGAAAAAACTCTCCCTAGCGATCGTGGTATACGAAACGACAGAATAAACGTAAAATGATCTTTTGGAGTTTGCTGCTTCTTGCCACCAGCGGGCTGGCTAATATCGTTTTTCCTGCTTATAATGGGCCCCCGAGATTGAAATACAGTGTTGTGCCTGGGTATTTCAAACAGAGCAGTTTGGCTACGGATGATAGAACATATGATCCGGTCTGTTTGGAACAAAACAAAAAATTCCCCGAGCTCGCGATCCATTACTGATGGTCTAGTAGCTTCGGGATAGCTTTGGCCTCACGGACCCGAGTCCTCATCGATGGTATCGCTTTCGCCAGAACATCCACGCCCTCAACATGAATGCTCCGGAGGGTGTTAGATATGTGGTGCTATACCTTGCAAGGCACGGGCAAGGACACCATAACGTCGCTGGTACACCTTCCTTCTTTCCCCACTCGGACCTCCCACAGCTAATGGAAATGTCAAATTTGCAGAAGAATTCTTCGGTTGGGAAGCCTGGGATTGCTACTGGGCGATGCAAGGCACAAACGGCACTTACACCTGGGGACCTGACGCCAAACTCTCACCCCGAGGTCACTCAGAAGTAGCCAGAACCTCCAAAGCCTGGAAACGCGAAGTCCCACACGGCGTCCCGCTTCCCGAATCCCACCATGTCTCACCACTTTCCCGGTCTCTCTCAACCCTCGTTGAAACCTGGAAACCGGTAGCCCTGAACCCTCCCCGCCCCGTTTGCCACGAACTCCTCCGCGAAACCCTTAGCCTGCACTATAGCGATAGGCGGTCGAAAGCCTCGTACCTGAGGGAAATGTACCCGGAAGTTGAATTCCCGATCGAAGAGGAAGACCCCCTGTGGAATTTCCACCGCGAATCTGAAATCGGAAGGAATATGCGCATCAAGCATGTCCTTGATGAGATTATCAACAATGATCCCAACACTTACATCGCCATGACAAGCCACCTTGGTGTCATCAATTCCACACTCGTGGCATTGGGACATAGACCTTACGCCCTACAAACCGCGGGTGTTATCCCAGTCGTGGTTAAGGTGGAGAGGGACTTGGAGTGGACGGGAGAACCAGTTTGGAGAAAGAAGGAGAGCTGGGAAATCCCGAAGGCCGAGATGAGGAGTGTTTGCCCGGGATATGAACCTGTGCTGGTTTCCGGCCAGTATGTCGATGGGATGGGTGTTTGGCCTTATTCGTAACAAGCAGTTGATGGGGTGGCCTCTTGTAACGGCTATGCAGCGTCCGACTGTATATACAATCTAGACATGGGGGTTTCTGGGAGCTGTAGATGGGATGGGGCGGATGTATATGCTACTATTTTTCTTTTTTCACTTTCGCCACAAATTTATAAATAGAGAGGGAGTAACGACAAACCCAAATTTGGCTACTCAAGGTTCTTTTTTTTTGCTGGCGTCGAACGAAAAAAATATGAATTGTCAGATAAGATAACAAACCTACTAGCGCAGAGACCTTGCAATAGATGGACAGACAAAGAGGAGACAAAAAAGGTGATAGCAAACATGAGTAGTTATAAGTTAGACCGGAACGAGTCATTGGCTCGGTCGAGCGAGGGAGCAAGGGGGGAAAAGATAGCATAGGGAATGCTATGGTCAGCAACGACAAACCCCCATCTCCAGGTTGGGACGAAGGAAATAAGCTCCTAAAAAAAAAGGCGGTACAAAAAAAGACTAACGAGGTTAAGACCCTCTTTTCTTCTTCCTTCCTTCACATGCTGCTAGCTTTTCTTCAACCCCCTTCAAGGAAGAATACAGAATAAGGAAAGAAAAAAAGAAAAAAAGAAAGAACGCTTTGATAATACATTGCCTTCTCACCCCTCGGGTGGCAGACCCCGCCAAATTAAATAACACTCGAAGTCCTCGGTCGTTTCCTTGCGGATCCTCTCGTCTTCTCAGCGGTTCCCGGCGGCGCCATGATTTCCGTCCCCTCGCGTTCATCCCTATGAACGTTCTTCTTCTCCTTCTGGTCTAGAACAATGGATAGCATATCGTAAGCGAATTGCGGGAACTCGAGTATCATGCCACGGAATTCGTCTTCAGCTTCGTGGCGGAGGACATGACCTATTTCAATACATTAGTAGCGTCCCAAATGTGAAGAGGGCGAAGGGAAGAAATGTACTCTTGTGAGCCCAATAGGTAGCGATCGGCGTCCGAATAGTCTTGTCTTCGCGGGGGGTATTGGCATATACGAATCTTGCGTATTCCAATTCTCCCTTCGCCGTAGAATTGATCTTGTGGATTTTAGCGTGAGCTAGAGTTTTCAATTCATCCATTCCGAGTTTCTCAGCGAGTGTGTAGATCTTGGCATGCTTGAGCAAGTGGCTGCCATCGAGGTCTTTCTGCACGCCTAGGTCTGGATCTAGAGCCTCGAGGATTGTATCATCCGGTCTTTGCGGGTTCGGGACGAGGCGTGGGGAATACTCGTCTGTGTAAAGGTACTGTAGAAAGCACCCAACTGCGTCGAGATCCTCGTCGGGGAGGTTGACCACGCGCTCGGAAGCAGGGGTGTCATGGGTATAGGAGGAACAGACTTCGGTCAGGTAAGGGCTTCGCAAGAGGAAGGCTTGGTGGGCTGATAGTACGGAACCGCCGTTTTCGATGTCCCCGATATTGATGGTTACGGATGGAGTTGAGAGGAAACTGGTTATCCGGATTTTAGCATGCTCAATTTCACGATCGCCTTTTTGTGTTTCATTAAAGGGGTTGGATTAGGGATTGACGTGATAGGGCTGGAAATGGAGGGTGTGGTGGGAACAGCAGGGAGGCGGATGGAGGGATGATTTACTCACTCTGCGTATGTTTGTCTCTTAATTCTCGCTAGGACCCCATTACCATCGTGTTCTTCACCCTCGTCACCGTCGTCTCCGTCCTTTATGACGATTAAGTCAGTGCTCTCGCCCTCGCCTGGTTGCTCCTCGAACAAAGGGTCCACAACCCCATCTCCATTATTATCAAAACTCGAGGTCTCAACAACTACACCCTCCATTGAATCAGCAGTGGAAGTAATCGCAGGCGTACCGGCCACTGAAGCCCGAGTTTCTCCCCTCAAAGGAGCTACAGGGGCGAGGTTGTCGTGCTCGTCGGACATCGCGTTGGGAGGGATGAAGACAGGGTTAGGGAATACAGGGGAAGAGTAGAAGGAGGGGGGGAATATGGAAAAGGGTTTAACCAAACGATAGGGGAGGAAGAGGATGGGTGAGAAAAGGAAGAGGGTGAGAGGTGGTTGGTTTGTTGACGTTCTTGGTTTGCCGTACAGAATACCGCGTTGGGGTTAGCGAGACATGAGGGTGGCCCCTAGCCCTGCGCCCTTGTCTTGGCTGCGGCTCGATTGACTCTGGGGAGGTGTGAGACATGCGGGCTATCTGTGGTGCAGGCGTTGATGATACACTGGATTCAGTACTAGCGCAATCTGTGATGATGCCCATAAAGCACTGTACGAGTATTTGCACGAGTATGATACTGTGCTCGAGTGCAGTGCCAGTATCAAGTCATTGTCGCAAGACATTGAACCGGGTGGTTTAGAGTGCGTCAAAAATGATAGGAGGTATAAGAGTATTCCACTGAAAAAAGCCATATTCAGGACCTTCCAATTAATGATCCGGTCAAGCAAGCCAAACCAAATCTTGAACTATATATGAAATAACTCCCTGGATTTTACTTTCCAACCCATTAGAACTCTGCATCTAAACTGGCTGAGGAATTATTGAGATCCCTATTGGAAATGGTAAGGCTTGGCGCTGTTTTTAAATTCAACCCTGCAATACAAGCATTCCGCTCGCCATATTGGACGCGAGCCTCCATAGCACAGTATGATACAACAAGATCGAACGCCGTTTTTTTGCAAGCCCCACGCCCAACAGTTCCAGCAAACAAGCTATGAGAAGTCCACACCACTGAATTGCACAAGTAACACACTCGGGTACGTACTGTACGCTGGTGTCTGCAAAGTTTTGATGACGTCTGATGTATCGCAAAGTCTTGGCAGTCTTCAGCTGGAGGGTTGCAGAAGCTATTTAATTACTGGGGAGGAAAATATGAATATCCTCTAAAGAATCTATCATAATCAGATTGAAAGACATTTTCTGAAAGCAAAAAAGGTCGTCTCTGTCATTTGTCCTCGTCATGCTATCTACGGCCGGGGTTGGTGGGGTACAGTACCTGGGGTGTTACAGTGACCTGGGGATGCGAGTGCACGATATTGCGAAACGCCGGATTGGTCCGCCGGAACCGTCAGGTAGCTGTAGACTATACCAGTATTCGACTGGATGTTCCTGCAGAACCACCCTTCTTTATTGCTGGGTAGAGGTTTCCCTAGTTATGGGGGTTTGGAATACCGTGATACCATCTGCCATGCAAGCAGCGGCGAATTGAACAAACCTTAGGCTATGATACCGGTAGATGCAGGTACAGTACTGCTCTAACACAAGTACCAAACATCCAACCCCTACAAGTGATTAGTCCACCCAAAACCGAGTTTTGGAGTGTCTGCTCTCGAGGGCTTCCTGGTGGTGGGGGGCGATATTTAGTGAGGATCTTGCAACGTCTCGCGCGGCTCCGAGGTGACCCGCTCCCCGGCACCGTGGAGTCCTCTGTTGAGGAACCCCAGACAACGGGATTACTCGATCGAGACGCTCGTTAAACAAGTTAAGTTAATGAAGGGTGTCTGGCCGCTAGGCAAAATCCCTGCTTGAGTAACCAGTATTAGCCCAGGGTACTGTGGGGGTTTGGGTGAGAACTTCATTCTGATGCAAGTTAAAGTGTCCTCTGGTCAACAGGAGACAGCAACGCGTTTTTTTGCTCTGATAATGCAAATACCGGTGATTTAATGGAAGATGTGTGTCTGGCATGCACATTAAGCAGGCGTCTCACCCATTTTCATGCTCAAAAGTTACCGTATTCCCCTTCCATACCAGCCTGATTATTACAACTTTGGGGTCTTCTAGCTTCCTGCGCCAACTTCCGTTTGTGATTTTCGAGGCTTGGAAAAACCAGGACTACCAGGCATGGCCTAAAAAAAATAAATACCAGAAATAGCCCCACGATGGTTGAGATCTCCATACTGATCCTTACCTGCTAATCGAGTAGTCTTTGGGGCTATTACTCGAGTATACTGGTAAGGTCCGAATAATGGGATAGCACATGTCTAGCGGAGTTAAGGGCCTCATACCGGGCCCAACGGTTTGAAAGAACGATTAGTTTGAAGGACGTGACCTTCGGCTTTTTATGTCTCTCTCAGTAGTTTCTGCAACGATATCATACTCTAGTTTAACAAAGGTGGCTGCGATGATCATCGTGCTTAAGTTTGGCTTGATTTTTGGGGCAATAACCCCTATTTTCGCGATAGGTGCAAAGGCGAAAGTGACATGACGACTAGAATATCCTATTATCTCAGAGCACGGAAATCACTGGCAGGAAACAACAGCAAGCAGCTCGTAGCGATATTTGAAACCATTGATCTCCAACCCTTGTGATGGGAGGGCAATGATGCCGATTCTAACTTCTCGAGTGCGCCACTAACCCACCAAACACCTTAAACTTCATCTCATCTCGAGCAAGAAAGTCACAGCCTAGTTGGGTTGATATGATCCGAAGGATTGGGCCCTCTCTATCGTCGCTCGCCATTTGCAATAGATCCCTCCTAACGGAGTCCATCAGATCATTGGCTATCCCTCGCTTGTTAGGTTAAAATATATTATATTTTCGCTTGTATCCCTCCGTCAACATCATCTCAACGACCCCTCGGCACCACTCCTCACCACCCCGCAACCCCTCTCAACCCCGCATTTTCGCCTGGCAATCCTCCATCCCAATGAAATATCTGAGTTCGATGGCGCCAACCAGAGATCCGAATACTCTCTCCAATCATCTGGATTTTTCTACTACTCATACGGCTATCTCACTAACTTTGTCGTTCTCGAAATCCTCACTTTATGGTGAAGTCGAGTTGACATTGAAGGCTCTTGCGGATGGTCTGAAACAAGTCGTGCTTGACACCAGCTTTTTAGACGTTAGGGCAGTTGCGGTTAACGGGAAGGGTGCGAAGTGGAGTATTGGAGATCGGGTTGAACCATATGGAAGTCCCTTAAAGGTTGATCTTGAGAAGGCAGTTAATTCCCAGGATGAGGTCATAATTAAGGTGATTCTTCTCTTTTAGTGCTTCCACTCCAGCGTTTACGATATAGCTCCTGACCTTTATTATCGTAGGTCACATGGGGTACCACCGAGAAGTGTACCGCGCTTCAATGGATGACCCCCGAGCAGACATCAAACAAGAGACACCCGTACATGTGTAATCATCACCGCCAACTCTCCTGGTTGCGACTTGCTAACCAACTCAAAGTTTCACAATGTCAAGCGATTCATGCTCGCTCACTATACCCCTGCCAAGATACCCCCTCGGTAAAGTCCACCTTTGATTTTTCCATCCGCTCTCCTCTCCCTGTGTGCGCGTCCGGTCTCCCCACTGGTGTCCATCACTTTGTCCCGGCAACCTCTCCGTCGGAGCCGGGAACTCTAGCGTACACCTTTAGGCAGCCGATCCCAATACCGTCCTACCTGATGGCAATCGCATCAGGTGATATCGCGAATGCCGCAGTCGGGCCCCGTAGTTTGGTTTATGCTGGCCCAGAGGAACTTCTTCGGTGTAAGAAGGAATTAGAAGATGATGTTGAAACCTTCATTAAAACAGCCGAATCATTGATCTATGCATACGAATGGACAACATACAACGTGTTAATACTCCCACCTAGCTTCCCTTACGGTATGTAACATTATACTCCAGAATAGGAAACAATTGATTGACCCGGTTGATCAGGTGGAATGGAGAACCCATGCATAACCTTCGCAACTCCAACGATTATCTCGGGCGATAAATCGAATGTCGATGTCATCGCACATGAGCTTTCTCATAGTTGGTCTGGGAACCTAGTCTCTAACGCATCGTGGGAGCACTTTTGGCTCAATGAGGGGTGGACAACCTACCTCGAGCGAAGAATCCAGGGAAAAGTTCACGGAGATAAGCATTTCCATTTCTCGGCAATCATCGGATGGAAAGCCCTCAAGGGATCCGTGGAGCTTTATGGCCCAGACCACGAGTTCACCAAGTTGGTTATTGATCTCAAAGGGAAAGACCCCGACGACGCATTTTCCAGCATTCCCTACGAAAAAGGCTTCAACTTCCTCTATTATCTCGACAGACTTGTAGGAAGGGAAAAATGGGATACCTTTATTCCTCACGTAAATTCCACTACCTTCTTCCATAGCTTTGAGCTAACAATATATAGTACTTTTCAACATACCGTAAAAAGTCTCTTACTTCTTTTGATTTCAGGGAAACTCTTCTATCCTTCTTCTCCAAGGATTTAGAGGCTTCTGATGCCCTCGCAAAGGTCGACTGGGACACCTGGTTCTACAAACCCGGGCTTCCCGAAAAACCCGACTTTGATACAACACTAGCAGACGCTTGCTACGCCCTTGCCGACCGCTGGCAAGCCCTGAATTCGTCCGACTCCTCTTTTAAACCCTCACCATCAGATATCTCCTGCTGGACATCCGGCCAAGTTGTCGTCTTCCTCGAGCGAATCACGGACTTTTCCACCCCTCTCCGTAAGGAACTTGTAGAGCTCATGCGTGGTGAATACGGGTTTTTAAAGAGCGAGAATGCGGAGATATTGAGCCGTTTCTTGACAGTCGGTCTCAAAGCAAAAGACGAGAGGCTTTATAGCAAGGCAGCGGTGGTGTTGGGTATGTGGGGAAGGATGAAGTTTGTTAGACCTTTGTACAGGCTATTGAACGAGTGTGATCGGAATCTGGCACTGGAGACCTTTGAGAAGAATAAAGGCTTCTATCATCCGATCTGCAGGGGGGTTGTGATGAAGGATTTGGGGATTAGTTAGATGGGAACCTGGATTGATATGAAAATTCTATTGTATCATAGTTTTGAAATTCAAAACTCATCTGACCCAGATCTAGCAAGAATATTATTAGTGTTATATTACGATATCACTATTGTGTTGGGTGGGAGACCAATTTTTTAAAGTTGCGAGCCACATTTATAGGTAATCACTCGGTATTGCATCTCGGATATTTAGTCAACGGTTTTGCCAGGGGTCTGAGTTTCTGACCGCTTCCATTAAATTCCATCATAACTTGAACTGTCCCTACCGCGGCAGAAACATTTCCAGCTATTCAACACTTCTCCGTGGCCCAATCTTACATAGTCTTAAGAACAGCCCATAAGTAAATAAGACAATTGTAATGAAGAGACAACTCAACAAACAGAGGCAGGACTAAGATCACCGTGAACGAAGTGGATGGAAAATATAGGGGAGGGAAGGGGGAGGAAGGATGCGCTACTTCTCCTGCTATCATAGCTAAGGACATACTGGGAGATATATATCTCCCCAACTCCGGAACTTCAACGAAACTCAACCGACTCTCAAGAAAATCACCAACCTGACAAATCAAGATCCTCTGCGATCCTCAGCAATCCGGAACGATCCTGATACATACCCCATGATCCTCACTAAGCCCTGGAGACTATACCCTAGGCTAGCTACCATGTGCCGAACGGCATATGGTGAGATAGAAACACCACAAAACCTAATACCCGATATATGATGTGCGATGGCAACAAACATCAACCAAAACCACATATCCTTCCGCACACCTCATATCCGCCTAACCACATGCCCTACAACAGGCACTCCAACATGTATGCTAAAGGGATTGTGTTTCGACAGTCGTGGAAAAACCTCCCTATTCTTCACAACGAAACAGCAGCGGGAGCGGGATAGAATCACGTTCCACACAGGTTTCGTTACTGGCCGTCGTGCCGTTGCGGTCCGTCACAGCAGTCATGTCTGCGGCAGCCTCACTGGTCATCAGCACCGAGATTTTACCATCAATCAGGCGTGCTCTGAGTTTGAGCAGGACTACTGGCGTAGGTACACTACCTAGTAAGTGGATTAGTCTGGAAAATATACGAGTGATCAAACAGAGGGAATTGTTGTCGGTCAAGGCCAATAACCTGAAAGGAGGAATCGAAGGGAAGTAAAGACTTGTGGGGACAGGGAGCTGTGGAAAGGTAGAAGTTGTTCGGGAAGCCAAACTGATCTTTCGTGTATGTGGCTTTGTGCCTATGACCGCAGTACTTATACTAATGAGAGGTATTTATATACAGTGATCCGAGTACCAAAATACTGTGTTCAACATACTTCCGTCACAATAGAACAATATTTTTAAGAGGAATGAATGGCGGTTTCGAGATTCCTACTGAGGATAGCGTTCTAGGAAGTATCTTGAGATTAGAGCGGGTAAGGATTTGGGGTGTCTAAAGATGGGAACAAGTACTAACTGACCATTAGGACATTGCTTATATTGTACGGACGTCAGGATCAGGGAAATGGGAAGGTTAATCAGGGGCGAATTTGGGGGCATCGAAAGGGGATTTGGCAATCTCGGAAGTCGGATCAAATGGGTAATTGGTTTTCGTGTCGGAGCAGTCGGGCTGAGCATCGGGACAGTACGTTTGCAGGTTTCACCGATTTTCTGTTTTCTCTAGAATTCTAAGGTGTCCAGCAGATGGTGCTCCAGGCCCTTTATTACGACAAAAAGTTCAAAGACGATATTCCTCTAGTGGCTGAGGAAGTTGCCGAGAACTCTGCGTCCAGGATGAAACGTCGAATATTGTTGGCAGCCAAGAACGATATCATTCAAGTGTAGTCTAGGCGGGCGGCCGAGTACTGTAGTCTACGGTGACAAAAATCGGAAAATGACGAAAAGGTTTCTGGGGGTTTGATTAGACAGTTGAGTGTGCTCGAGCCAATTGAGCAACCGTGTTTCTAAGATTTCATTTCCACATTTTCCGATTTTTTTTTACCGCAGGCTGTAGAAAGTGCGGAAAGGAATGGAGCAAAGAACAATTGGGTCATAGACCCTGCATTGAGCAAAGGAGGCGTTTGTGAGAGTGGTCATTTGAAGAAAAGCTTGTTTCGCACGTTTGCGGTCACTGTGTTTTTATTAAAGTTGGTAGTCTCACATGAGTGGAGAATCTGGGGGGGGTTAATCGGAATACCGGTACTCATGGAGGTGTTTGGGGTTCAGGGTGTTGCACAGATAGCTTCAAATAGCTTCAATTACTCGAGTATGATGCAGTACTGTACTCGTACCGTACAGCATGGAAAGTTCTTGCCAAATGAGTCTCTGCCTGCTGGGTTCAAAATTAAGTTACCTTCCAACATTAACTGGGTGCAGAAATGATATCCATTTTCCCAGTGTAAAGAATTATTCTCGTCTCAATGCTAAGCCCTAGGTTGATACAAGTATCAATATGTGAAAACTCCCTGCTTCAGTGTGTAACCAGCCCTTGTCCCACCATCTTCATCATCACTCACACAAGTATGGTGTGGTATAATTTGTTAGCTAAGCGACTATGGGGCGCAAGGATATTTTTTTTGTTGTGCGGAGTGCAACCCCGCACTGAAACAAACAACCCCACCATTAACCTCCTCCTCCCCTTTCGAAATTTCCTCCATCAAAAAGCTCATCGAAAACAGACTAACGGATACCAATACATCTGATGACGGACAAGAAAGAGAAGGCAGACGGGCCCGCTGCTGCCGAGAGTAATCCTGAAAACGGTTCGTCTTTTAATTTACCTTTATGCGATTCCAAATTTCAGTCTTTTTTTTTGTTTTGTTTTGTGCAGGAAAATTTGAGCGCTGATTGGCTGGGTCGCAGAGTTTGCGCTTAGTCTTACAAAATATAATGATGCTGCGGCGATTTCTCACCGAGTCCTTGCAAAGGTCTGCCGACTTGCGATTGACGGGGACGGGAAGACTATATTGAGCTTGTGCGAGGAGGGTGACAAGTTGTTGGATGAGGAGTGTTCGAAGGTTTATAAGGGAAAGAAAATTTCCAAAGGTAGACTTTATTTCCTTTGTTGGCCTTCCATTGAGATGGATTTGGGCAGAAAATATGTTTCGATTCCCTGCTGGAAGCTTCCCCGCTGATGTTTGCCTTCATAGGGATTGCTTTCCCCACGACTGTTTCTCCAAATGATATCCTTACACCATATACTCCTTTGGCGACCGATCCCGGGGAGAACGAGATTGCTATCAAGAAAGGTGATGTTCTAAAGATTCAGTAAGAGACCACGCGAAACACTTTTAAATGTTAAACAATTCATCTTTCATGCTTACTTGTATCTATATAGACTTGGTGCTCAGCTAGGCGGTTATCCTGCGATTGTCGGGGACACGGTTATCGTCGGTCAAGATGCGGAGCTTACTGACGACCAGAAAAATCTCCTCCAAGCAACCCACTATTGCAATGAGGCGCTATTACGTCTTCTCCTCCCATCCGAAATTCACCCACTGACAACTCCCGAAAAGCCACACAGGCAACCTTCCGCCTACGAGATAACCCAGATTCTCAACAAGATCGCTGCAGCCTACGATTGCACTATCGTCGAATCCACCACCTCGTTTAATTTTCTCCAAAATGAGATTGAGGGAAAGAAGCGCCTTGTGCTACATCCCGGTGAAGGTATGCCGAAGTCTGAGGGAGCACCTGAAGTTGGTGACATCTGGGGTGTGGAATTGGCTCTCAGCAAGGGTTCTGGTAAACTCAAGGATATTCCCGGAAAAAGGCCTACATTGCACAAGAAGACAGACACAAAAGTTGGACTCAAACGCCAGACTTCAAAGGCTACTTTCACCGAGGTTAACAAGAAGTTTGGAAACTTCCCATTTGGACTGAGGCAATTAGAGGACGAGAGAACGGCAAAGATGGGTATTGTTGAATGCGTTCGTTGCGGTGTTGTCAGACAGTTTGAGGTTCTCGGAGAGAAGGATGGGTCAATCACATCAAGACTTTTCACCACCATCGGTGAGCCTCCCACTTACCCTAGTAGCTAGTGGAAACTAGCATAATTCTAACAAAAACTATAGCAATCACCAAAGCCGGAATTAACAAGATTGCTGCTCCTCCGGAGCCCGAGCTTGAAAAACTCAAAACAGACAAGTCTATCGAGAACGCGGAAATACTGGACTTCTTGAAGCTACCCCTCAACAAGTCAAAAAAGAAGAAGAAGCCCGCCGCCAAGAAGGAGGAATGATTTCCTCTCAACCTACCGGGGGAGGGGGAGAACTTGCATAAAAAAAGGAAAAAAAAAAAAACAGGGTGGGGGAAGGAAGGCTAATATTGTTTCCCTTCTTTCTTTACCTTCTTAAGGTCTTGTTCTCTTGTTTTCCTTTCTCCTATCTTCTCTGTTTCGCCTGAAACCAACGAGAAAGTTAAATGCAAAAAAGCTCTCCTATTTAACTTCGCGTGAAGTGCGTGCGGGTGTATGTGTGGAGAGGTGTGCTATGATTGGTGGGTGAGTGCGAAGTGTGATGTGATATGATGTAATGTCTTTATGAAGTCCAGTGCCACGTTAGAAAATTGGGATGCAAGTGAACCCGTTATTTTTATTGATACCGCGATAACTTCAGACGAGTTATGATACTATAACAACCAGTGCTTACGGCAAGATTACCAAAGTCATGAGTACAAAGAGGGCTCTAACATTAGAAGAAGAAAAAGGTATGATATTAAGGCCTAGAATCATATCATAGCTCAAACCCCTGTTTCCACTCACCCTAAACCTTACCCCTCAAACCGCTAACTCCCTTCACCCGTAACCCCAGCCCTCTCATTCTCGGCAACTTAATAACACAATATCATACTCGAGTATCATATATTATGACATTTTGTTTTACGCGCCTCATATTATGCCACACTCGTGCTTAGACTGCCCATCTCGAACCGTCCCCTCTGAAGCACCCCCTCAGCGCCTGCATGAGCTGAGAAGCCCGCGAACATAAAAGCCATTGTATCACTCTGCCACCTGCCAACCTTCCCCGGGGAGTTTCTGCCTCCACATCTTCCCCCAGTGTCATCGGCGCGGCGTACTCGTAGTGGAAGAACTTCGGGTGGGGGGGCATGTCGGTGGGGGATAACTGCTAAATTGGGAACTGAAAATACGGGATTGTTGTAGGGATGTGGGGGAGTAGAGTAGAGTATTGATTATTCGGCTCGATAACTCCCTGAACCAATATATCTCAATGAAAGAAAGATGAGTCGATATCCGAAAGTAGGGAGCATTAGGCAGGAATGGGGATATGGTTTAGTGGTATAATACCTCTTTAGCATAGAGGTGGTCCGGCGTTCGATTCGCCGTATCTCCAGTTCTCTTTTTATTTTTATTTTCGGGACACGCTTTTATTGTATCTTTGGGAGAAGGAATGGTGCTTTGAGGGCTGGGCTGCTGCGCTTGCCGCTCGGTGTAGCGATTTCCTGTCGTTGTGGTGAACTTGGGACGTGGGCACTTCTATACGGCATCATGTTTGAAGATGATTTCTCTTGTTGGGTGTGCCGCGGAATTGGAAACGTGATTACAGCACTGATGTAGCCCTACGGGCAAATAATTTAATGCCGGGAAACAAAAAGCTCCTTTATAGCACCCCTCGCATGGCACATAAATACTCGTCACAAAAACGTTTCGCTCCTAGTCTCGTGATGTCATATCTGCGACTTTAACTAGATATTTCCAAAATTCAAGAAACGGAGCAAGTACCTTGACAGTTCTTGCCATGGATGGGATCACTAAAACCGGGCCCAGCCCATGGGCCCAACTGACCACGCCAAAAGTATGATTTTTTTTTCTTCCTATCACAATATTATATGTTCCGTTTCACCAATCTTAACCTGTCTCCTTGACAAAGTAAATTTACTTTCCTTTTAATACACATATATAAGACGGATTTTTTTATTTTTTAATAAAACCTTTACTATTATATAACTTCTCTTAATTAACCAGTATTAAATTAGAAAATTTAATAATAATAATAATAAAAAGTAATACAAATTATACACTTCACGGAATAGTAATTAGGAGAATAATGTTATAAGTAACTGTTTATTAACTGATCCGGTAATAGGAAAAGAATTTTATAAACTTCAATAAATATAAGATGATTGGTTTTAGGTATGATACCTTGTGAAAGATACTATAGGAATTGAAGAACCTTTTCTACAAAAAAAATAATTTTATCCAAGTTTTGTTACAAATTATTAATCAACATGAACTGCTCGCTTTATACCATAGCCACCTACTATAAAAACTCTTCATAAAAGTCTCTTTAACGTGAATCATTCCACTGAAGTGATACCTATTATGAAAAAAAGTTTATTCGAGATGCTAATACCTGAAAGTATCTCATGATACCAAAAGGTAAAAGTCAAGATAATAGTCTAGTAGGAAAACGTTACTTTACCAATTCTTTAAGCTACAAAATAATGGTTCTAATGCTTAAAGTTGAGTATCAGAGAGCATTGAGAAGAAATAAGAAATTGTCTTCCATGGTGTTTGAGTTTAGTATCTACTAACGGGTTCAATTTTACAACTACTAAACTACTATTAATCATACTATTTTTTTTTTGACCAAGATATACAAATAAAAAATTTGGATAAATAAACTACAAGTGAAAGTAGTGACAACTTGAATTATAATTAAGTTGGTAAACAAAGAGGCAAAGTTGGTATTTCTCACAAAACAAGTTAGTAAGGGAGATGGAAGTACAGGTACTTTCTCAGTAGCATATCTCTCAGGTAGAGCATATGCTCTTGGCCAAGTATCTTGCTTGACCGGTGGGTAGAATATATATCATAGGGCGGTGTCCCTGGGACCTGAGGTTGTGTCCGTGAGAGCTTAAAGCGGTATATATGATACCAGTGACGTGACAAGTCAACCTACACGATCCTCATATAGATAGCTTCCACTACTTCCTCCCTTTAAGCTATTATTTAAAAAATTACAAAAGATCGATACAGAGATCCTGCATGAAATCTATCCATCCGGGTTCGTCGAACTAGAGGGAAGATGGATGCTTAGAGCTTTCATTTAACCTTCAGTCACTACGACAAAAAAAACCCTAGGAACCTGATTAATTAGTAAATCCCACTTGGAAACCTGCCATCATCCCCTATATCCTCCCCCTCCCTCCTCTGCAAACCAAAGAATCATGTGTGATGGATTCTGAACTATGATATATATACGTTGAACTCGTGATGAGCGGAAGTGGAGATGACAAAAAGGCCCTTCCTTGGTCCATTTTGAGATAGACAATCATCTTACCTTACCCCTCAGCTATTTGTGGCATTGCAAAAAACTTAGATTATTTTATTTGTCTTGGGGTAAATCTTGGAGATTGTTTCAGAGGGCCTCCCCTCTGGTACCTGGGATTGAAATACTATTGGCGCTGAGAATGCGCTCCTGAAAATAGGGATTGAGAGTGGGTGTGCTGTGTATCGTAATGCGCGGGAAGGTGATGGGGGGGGGGGAATATTACGGTTTGGGTCAACTTCGAAAGTCTTGGTTGGTGGTGCGAATGAGTTGGTATAAGCTGGGTGGTGGAGGTCATTCCACGACCTGGGATTTAGAGAGGGGGTGTATAGGACTGGTAAATAAATGAATAATAATAATAAAAAAGTCAATTAAGGTTGCAAATCATATGGTATCACTCGTTTACACTGACATTCCTAAACTCCTTCCACGTCCACATTTTCCCAACCACCCATTTCTTAGGTGGAGGAAGGGACCTCCGCAGTCTTCGCAGTAGCCTCCACGGCAGTCTCCTGTTTCTCTTCATCGATTTCCTTCTCTTTGGACGGGAGTGCCTCTGCAACGATGAGAAGCTGCATAATCTTCGCCGGTTTCTTAAACCAGGCAGCCAGCACTCCACCTTTCTTCGTGCTATCCGGCTCGGGTTTCAAGCTCTTATCATCCGCCTCCGGCTCGGGAACCGAACTCTTCCTATCCTCCTCCTCCTGCGCGGCCTTCCAACTCTCAGCGACGTCGTTCCCAGTCCATAACCAGACCGCTGTGCGGTGGGCCAATCTCGACAGGGAGAGGGCGGTGTGGCCGGCGAGTATGACCACGTACACGAGTGCCAGCTGTAGAATCCATATGGGGGCCCAGGGGAGCCTCACGAGCTTCTTTAGGGGGCCAGCATCCTTGATCTTCTGAAACCGGAGCGTGAGGATTATGAAGGTTAGCTCTTGTACGGGAACCACGACGGCGATGTATATCGCCATAAAGTACCAGTACCACCAGTTGCTCTCGCCGTCGTGAGAAACGTTGTCAGTGAGTAGGGTGCTGCGTTTCTCCGCTTCCTGGAGGCCGCGGGCACGCTCTTTCCAGTATTTCCAGGCCGGCTGCTTTTCTTGGTAGATGTGTTCCTTGCTGGCGGAGCCTTTGGGCTCGGAGGCTCCCTCCATTCTCTGGCGGATCGAGTCTTGGGCCCAGGTTTTCAGGGTTGTGAAGTGGCGGCGGAGGAAGGCGAGATTCATCAAGAGGATTAGAGTGCCGAAGGTGACGGCGAGCATAATTCTGACGAGGGTTTTTGCGGGATATTTCCAATGGAGGTCTTGTATAGCCACGATACTCTATGGGGGCCAAGTTAATATACTGGCCCGTTCGCTTATGGGAGGGGGTAGAAGTGTACGGTAGAGAACGTTAGGGGCAAATAAATAGTTGTAACAACAGCAAAAAGGTTCACGGTGTGCGCGAGTTGTGTGGAGGTCCTCGCTTCCCGGAGCGCTAGCTCACTCGACAGCTAATCTCACCATCAGCACACCTCTTCCAAGCCGTGGTGGGATGCTTACAGATTCCTTAAGGGTCTTATTCCGGTCGATCCGTTCCTGTAAGTTCTTCGCCATTTTCTCTAGCTTAGCACAACGCGCCATCACATCTGCTCGATTCTTCGCAACCTCTTCCCCGAAGCTCTTTTGGTCCTTTTCGGACCACCGAGGTTTATACTCCCGTGTCTTCTCTGCTGATATCCATTGCTCCGCAACGCTACGGGTCTCCTTACACTTCTCCAACAAAGCACTACAAACTTCGAGTAGCCAGGGATAGAATACACTATTCTTGTTCATGGTTTTGAAATAGTTTTCCCCACTGAGGTCATCTTCCGTGAGTAGTGGGTTGAAAAGTGACTGAGATTTCTGCGTCGAACAAACATTTCATCAGTATATGCTTAATACCGTTAGCACTTTTTCCACCAATAAACCTACTTTATTACCACCCATAGGCTTGGCGATAATGCCGAGGATAATCTTGGCCTCCGAGAGTACTAGATCGAGGGCATGGCGCACGAGAAACCCCTCAAGGCACTTCCTTTGGCTCGGAGTCTTACAAGAGTCGAGATGGTCCACTCGGCTCCAAGCATCCGTGACGGGTTCTCGACTTCCAAAGTCGTAAAACACGTAGCATGTCCAGTACCGGTCATGCAGGTCACCGATAATGCGGAATCCCATGGCCGCTTCAGCCATGATGTGGTCCGGCTCAACATCGTTCATACTCAGGAACTTTGCCCGTCTCCTCGGAAAATAATTTGGAAGGAGGGGTGACTCCACATCAGCCTGAAATGGGGCAGTGATGATGAAATTGATGTTGAATTCAGTAATCCAGAGATTATCTGGCATGAGTGTCTTCATAGATGTTAGGCATTGCAGGGGAGTTTTTACCGAGGGAGCAGGCGGACTGACATACCTTCTCTTCAAATCTCATCTTGTGAGAATCTGTGTGGCGCAGCCGCGAGAGAAATTCACCTATATGGCCGGCTTCTTGAAGGTCTAGGTTGGCCATCAGGGAGATTAGATGCTGGATCATGCAGTCCCCCATGACTCTATATCACACTGTTAAACGGGGTTCCAGCTTGCATATCGGACATGTGGAGGTAGATAGATTGGTACAAACAGTATCCTTTTTTTATCTGTTCTGCGATCCCTCTGTCCCCAAACAGTTAGCAAATCGATATCGCTACTGCAGAGAGATTGTTTCCCATACTTTCTCCTGTAACTTTAATAACGCCTTACCCCCGCGAAAGCGGTCGAGCTTTCCAGTTCTAGATGGTTTAAACAAGGCGTTTCTCTCACCACCCCAGTCATAATTCGGCATATCTGCCATACTCTTCAAGAACTTCTCCTTCCCTTTACTAGTTTCCCAAAAAGACCAATTACCAAAACAATCTCCCAGAGCCAAAAACCCCTCCATAAATTCCTTATTCATCTCAAACTTCTTTGGCTCGTGTGCCATAAAGAGAGGCTCTCTGAAACAGTACCACTCGCCATACGCTGTTCCCATTAGAATAAACATAGTATCCCCGGAGAGTTTGAAAATCACCTACAGGGTGGATCGTTCAATTGACGACGGTCTTCAACGGTGATATCGAAGCCGTTCCCCATTTTTCCAGACTTTCTTCCTCCCTGGCGTACACTCGCACCGACGTTTGTGCTAGGGGTTGTACCAGCGTTTATTGGGTCTTCCTGTGGGGGCACGGATACCTGTGGCCCGTCGGCACGGGTAGGGGGGTCCATAATCCTTTAGATGGAAACGTTAGTTCGTGGTTAAAACTCCCTGAGTCGTTTGTCGCATGGACTAGCTTACATTGGAACCCTGAACTGGGGATACAGGAATTTAGCGTAATCCACGCTAAGGACATATGTAGCCATTTCCCAACCTATGCTGGAAGGACAATGGGAACTAGGGGTAACCGTGCTACTAGCAAAAACCCCAACTGAATAAGCTTTTGCCTCCAAACTCTCCTGCAACTCCTGACGACGATCTCCGTCAATCGTAAGCCGGTAGCGCGTAAAATATTCCCAGGCGCCTGGTGTCTGTGTCTTGATGGTGTGGTTGAATGTATCGTAGTATCTGAGTGTCTCAGTCCAAGCAGAGATCGGCTGATTCCTGTCGTCGAAGAAGAAATCCTCCACAAATGATGGAATACCGATATCGCAACTCCATTGGTCCGGGAGGGATTCTTTAATATGTCCTTCAATTATTGAGAAAAAACGATCGGGGAAACAATCATGACTCGTGTCAGTGCCAAGGCGGCGGAAAGCCTCTATTGTCCGATCACTAATTGCTTTGTCGTCTAAACTTTGGTGAACCATCCATTCAGTCCAGTCTCGGTCGCCGGACACCAAACCAAGTAGCCTATTCGTAGACCTAACGGCCCGCCAGACAAGCACTTGCGTTGTGATAGAATAGACATAGGCACCCTGTCCACCATAGCCACAACGCTCGTTAGTTTGCCAATTCCAGAATCGGGCATACGGCGGCGGGTATTCCCTAGGGTACTCGAGTCGATCTGGCCATAGGTCACACCCTCGGTGCTTGCTCATCTCGATTGGCTCCCAAACTGTCTTTAGAAGAGATTTCACTATTCGAGTGATCAGAGGCTTTTCATCGGGATAGTTGGTCAAGCACATATCCAACAAATCAAGGAATCTGCAACAATTCGGGAAATTATCCCAGTACTTATATATATCTGGCTCAATGGGCCTCACAGGGGGAGGGTCAGTGGACTCTTCGGTCTTTCCGGGGTGTGGCGTGCTTGCTTTCTTAAGATCGCCGATGGATCCTTGGGCCTCTATAGATAATAATGAGCCCGTTCTATCTATCTTCGCTCCAGGAGTCCCGACTGGTTCCGCGGGCTCCGCGACCTCAGACAAAGAGGATTTCTCCATGGGTGCGTGGGGGATATCTTTCTTTTCTTCACTATTTGCCTCCCCTACGAGCTCCCCGGACTTACCCACTTTCCCGGACCAGTGTAAAACAACCGAATCAGGAAAGCCGTTTAGTTCGGCATGTCGTAGTACCCAAACGAGGTATCCAAAAATTACCTTTCGAATCCTCTCACGGTAATGGAATTTTGTTACATCATCCGCCGTATTCTGTCCTCGCAGTAACTTATAAATTTCGAGGAGGTAAAAAAGCTGCTCCCTGCATATTGTTAGGCCTTTTCCAAGTCGATTAATAAGGGGGGCTTTTGGCGGCTCACATAGAAGTACCCCATGTATGGTAGGTACTAGCCAAATCATGATCGTGCGGAACACAAGGCTGATAGGTTTCGTCATCGAGCTTCGGCAGTGGCATAGCGTGTGAGAGCGCAGCCTCAAGAGTTCGCCTAAATATAAATCCCGCGGAGTCGGTCTTGAAGCTCCACCAGCGGTCACCAAATAATTTTAAGTAAGGAGATATATCGAAATACCGCGGTGGAATATTGGGAACGTTTTGGTGATCCAATTTGAATATCGTGGTAAATTTCACCCTTGCCTTCCGTTTCAATATGAAAGTCTCGCGATGCCTTATTGTTGGATCGTCGGAAAGAATGTTAATGTCACATTTGGTCGTGTCATTTTGTTTGTCGTCCCCGAGGAGGCTAAACGACTTCGGTTTACCATCTTCGAATAAGCTTGCCGTCGCATAATAATTGTCGCGCTGGAACTTCCAGTGAGATCCCGGGGCTTCTCCTTCTGCCACTCGCTGCAGAAAATGGTCGGGAGCATCATCCTCCCTACCCCTTGGTTGGGGCGTTTCCCCAGACGATATCCTGATTCCGGTGGTGAACTCAAATTCCAGACTGAGCTCGGTTTCGTCGCGAGATTCCGAAGTCAAGCACATATCTTGAATAATTTCGCCGTCCCGGATATAATGCTGTAGGACGACCTTGACTTTCCCCTCCACGGTGTAACGCACCTCTGGCCATCTATCGTTCCTGTAGTAGTGCTCGGGTTCTGAGATGTTGGTATTATCTGAGAATCGAAGTCCGAGTCCCTGGTTCTTCACGCAAAGCGCATTGAATTTATCATGTCTTCGTGGATACGCAGGGTAATCGATATAGTATTGACTGGGCTTCCACTCCGGGTTGTCCGGCTCCCAGCCTAGAGCTCTCCTTTTGGATTCCGCAGTCTCCTGCCCTCCCTCCTCATCATCCTCCTCCCCGCGTCCGGCTTCGTGGGACGTTGGCGCTGGTATGATATGTTCTAGTCGGGAGATATTTCGCGGCTCTACCGAGATATAACACCAGCTATCGGGGTCACCACCACTTGCCACTAACCTACTAAACTTTAAAAACTGGCCCCATTTGTTGAGGGCGGCACTAGCGCCACCTTCCGCGAAATCGAGATATCGAAATGCTCTCTCCTTGGTGTCTAGTTTTGAGAGTCCGATGTACTGTTTTGGTGACTCGCGCTCTTCACCCTGCGATTGAGCTTCGGAGCGCATGTTAATAGAGCCTTCGAATCAGCCGCAACCACCAGAGCGCCTACCTGGAGATGTCGGTCTTGTGGAAGAGTCTGTTGCTCCGCGCGCTAAGAGAGGCAGCGGTGAGTCCATGATGAATTTTCACAAAACGTGCCTCTCCCTGATCGAAGGCATCCGAATAGGTAGAATTGGGGTGCGAATACCTAATAAAGTGTCCAACTTTTCATAGCGGGGCGTTCGCGGGCCCTCGTTCCACAGATGTATACCGGTACTTATACCGTGTTTCCGGGAAGATTCGCCTGCATGGTCCAATTGTTCAAGCCTCTTAGGGCACTCTAGCACACCATTGAACTGGTAGGATGCGGCACTTTTTTACAGCATGATACTTGTACGAGTATGATACGACACTTTTCTACTGTTTTGAGCTGGGGCTGAGTGCGGGGTGAGAAGGGCGGCAGGAAGTTTGTGTCTCACCTCGGGGGGCGGGGGTAATTCGAATGCTGGTATCGTAGTTCGATACCCGTACTTGTACTGTACAGTACGAGTACAGTACAGGGACAGGTATGCAGCGGCAAGTGCACTCGCATGGGTCTGCCTTTCCTCAGTTGGCGAGAGGAGTTATGATACGTAGGAGGGAAAAGCACAGCGAAATGATTACAGTACTTGTATCTTTCAGCCCTCGGCACGGAAATAAAAAGGGAAAAAAAAAAAAAAAAGGTACGAGAGCCCTTACTGGAAGAGGCAACTCCAACGTCCTAGCAGTCCTCGATGCTCTAGAAAAAGCAGATTAGTGGAATGAAAATCGGATCGATCCTAGCGGGATTCTCAATTATTTCAGTTTTTCCCGTAGTGTGCATCACCGGAGGGTGAACTTGAGCGTGGAAACAATTTAAACACAGTGGCTGATTGGCTGGGGAGGATTTGATAAAGGCTATCCCTAGACCCCCATTCTTCATGGCCGGAGAGTTGTCAGATGCGCTGAAGTTTCTCGCGCTTAACGGAATATCGTTCCGGTATGATATTTCTCCTATCGGTGGACTAAATTTATGCGCAGGCTAGGCAGCCGTGGCAGCCTTCGATTTCAGGTTCACACACACAGCAGAACCTCCCTAGTCTACTCGAGTAATCATGAATCACACAGCCTACCGGTAAAATTTAGACTATGCAGTTCTTGGACGATTGAGCAGAGGTTATGAAAAAGCAATCTCATTGTCCTGCAAGAACCGTGTGGGGCTACAATATCATACGGTTAACGGGAGTACGGGCAGGGGTGAAAAATCGGTGGCAAAACAGGGGATAGGTTACTCGAGTAAATTTAGGGTGATGATCGATGTAGCAACGGGTGAACATCTTAAACCCGGTGTGGTTGTTGCACAAGTGACTCGATAAGATGCCGGCTGCCAGTTCAGGACTCACTTTCGTACTGTACAGTACAATCCCAGTGGAGTGGCTGTAGAGCACAGAAAATCTCATAGTATCAATGCTGTTAGGAATACCAATACTCAAATAGACTACCGGTATTTCTCGAACAGTCAAGTTTACGGAATTGCTTAGTACTGTACGAGTACTTGACCATTCGTAAAGTATTCGGATGCCTTGACGCCCATATTCCATATTCAGGTCCCTGTTGGTATAGCTTGGCGCCAAGGCATCCGAATACTTTACGAATGGTCAATGGTCAAGTGCGAGTAGTCTACTCGAGTATCATACCCTTTGCTGAGGGATTACATAAGCAATGACGAGCCTCCCAATGCCCATGTTTCCAGTTTGAAGCCATGCCTCACCGCCAAACAAAAATCCACAAACTCCAACCTTGCGACCTGAGCACACTGGCGGGGGCCAAAAAAAAATTCGCAACAGGGTAGGTGTATTGAGGGCCCACGAGCCTAGCTCAATCCCTAGCATCTGCCCAATTTCTAAATCTCCTAGTTTATACAAGATAGTGTACACACCTTTTGCACACATAACATTGAATGGCATACCCGTGCTCACCCATCTCAAACCATACCCTCTCAAGCACCCCATTCGGCACCCTGGCCCGCTAGCCCTATTGTATTACTCTAACATCTGCCGATGCTCTACTGTACGTATCACGGCATTCTAGGGTGCAAGCTGCGGTACTACTCTCAGGGAGTTTTCTCCCTCCGCCCCGCTCCCGCGGACGCATTGTCACCCCGCCCTACGTAGGGGAAAACAGTAGTGGGAGGAGCGGGTCATTGGGGGTCAATTGGGGATCACTTGTACGGAATTACCGGGGGGGGGGCAACGGAATGTACCGTAAAGGCTCAAGTAAAGTCACACCTCACTGTCTCGTATGAATCTCTGTAAACTCCGAATTTCTTTCCACCAAAACCTGACCCGTGCTCCCGGATCACTCGCTGTGCCGGACAGATTCTTGGGATTTTGGCCGTGCGGAATGGCGGGGCACCACCAGCGACTGCGATCAGACTGTGCGTGTGCTGTGTTGTCCATAATTTCCTAATTTAGCAGAGGGACGTGAAACACAGCCGCTCCACGAGTGCTAGTACAGTATGTAAGGGGTATGGGGGGCGGTAAAAAGATGAATAAATACCAGACCTTACCGGAGGGGGCAACTCCAACGACGTAGAACTCGAGTACAGTGGAGGACGTGAATGGACTCGTGGTGAAGCGGGAACAGAATTTTAATATTGTGGTGTTTCTTCCTTTGGGATAAATTGATTTTTTGGGGGGGATTGGTTGTATTACGAGGGGCTCTGAGACCTACCATCGAGAAGAGAGAGGGACGAGAATTGCCGGAAGATAAGTGGTCCTCATATTTTAGTTCTTTCATTGACTCCTATTGCGTCTTGTGGTTGAACCTTCATCTATATCCTTCTTGTAAATTCTCACAAAAGAGCGCATAGACGAAGAAAGAGTTTGGCAGTAAGTTTCACGGTTCGATTATCTGAGTTTTTACGGTAGTATTACCATTGTTATATTCGACCGAACCACCCCTATAAAAAACGATAGTGTGATAATATTTAAGAATTGGGGTATTTCTGAGGGGGGGGGATGTTGCGTAGTGATAATACGGCTTTAGCTTTGCGGTGGCCTGGCATTCGATTCGCTGGATCTCCGGTTCACCCCCTCTTTTTCCCCGTTCAAACATCACCATATCATATTTCCAACTCCAACAGGAGGCTTCTAGAAAAGGGTAAAAATCCGGAAACGAGGCACGCCGACAAGTGACTAGCTCAGCCAGCCAGCGAGACTGCATGTAGCAAGGTTTATAATAATATTATTATAGATTATCACGCCGACTGATACCACCTCCAGTTTTACCCCAGGTATAGGTGATGGTAGAGGACGGGTCAAAGCTTTTAGTCCGACACCCGGTTTTGCGCCGGTTTTCGCGAAAAATGGACATTTCCAACAGGGGGCAATTCCTAATGCTATCCTCTTGAAACGCCTTGGATCGTCCCGTCCACTAGATAATTTCTATCCATTTAATTAAACCTCTAGGAGTAGAACCTGCAGAAGATCACAGCTGTGTTCATTGTTTGCGGTGATGTAGGTCAGTGTGAAAGAGGCCTAGATTTTTTGAATGGGCTCCATACAAGAAAGTATGTGACACCCAAATACTCCACACTCAAATGATATTGTACCCACCCCTTTATAATAATATTGTTATCTAAAAACTCTGTAACATCACTCGCGTTATCTACAGGCCTACCAAGGCACCACCAAATTTCGGCAGGTTCTCATTGGCACGGCGCTGCGAGGGGGTCGGGGGGGGGGGGTAAGGGTGGGTAATTTTGGTGTGAAAAGGGCATCATCAGGAGAACGGTCTTGACCGTGTATTGTAGAATAACCTCCGCTATCCTCAGCTTTCCTTCGCCTTTTTCAATAGTGCTGCGGCGTGCGTAAGGGTTCTAGGAATCGTTTCAAAGGCTCCTCGAGTATGTGGGGCTGGGGAACTGTATCGGCAGAGAAAACACCCCCGAATCGAAGTTGAGAGCTGTGTTGAATTGTGTATCGTAATGCGTAAGTAGGTGAGGGGGATGTTATGGCTTGGGTCGATCTCCAGAGCTTTGGCGGTGCGGATTGGTTGGCACTGGCACTGTGGCAGAGGCTGTTCCATGGCCTCACAGCGGCGATCTAGGGTTAAGTAAGTGGATATATGGGGCTGCCGAGTAAATGAAAGGGGAGAATGTGAGGTAAGAATTATTAATTTGTATATCATAAGGTATCACTCGTATACTCCTACATCTCCCAAAAACAGATAGCATAGAAACCACTTGCTGTCAAGAACTCCTGACTGGTCCATATAAATAATGCCCGATCACCTGCCCCCTTCAACTGTTAGGTGTGGACGAGGCCGGCGGCTCTTGTCCCACTACAATACAAGTGGATTCAGGATACTAAACCCCTCCTTCTCCAGACTTTCAACAACTCATTTCCTAAGTAGAGGAAGGGGTATCCAAATCTTCCACAGCAGTGCCCTGGCTCTCCGGGTCGGGTTCCTTTTTCTTCTTCTTGGGCTGGAGAGCCTCTTTGACGATGGGGAGCATCATCTTCTTCGCCGGTTTCATCAACCAGCCACCCAGCCCCCCGTCTTGCTGCGTGCTATCCGGCTCGGGCTCTGAACTCTCTTCATCCCCCTCCAGATCTGCCATCAAACTCTTCTCAACCTCCTCCGGCGCGGCCTTCTTACCCTCGACGGTGTCATTCCCAGTCCACAGCCAGACCGCCGTGTGATGCACAAATCTCGCCAAGGAGAGAACGGCATACCCGGCGAGCATGACCACGTACACGAGCGCCAGTTGCAGGGCCCATATGGGGGCCCAGGGAAGCCTCATAAACTTCTTCAAGGGACCAGCATTCTTGATCCTTTGCCCTCGGAGCGTGCGGATTATGAAGGTTAGCTCTTGTACGGGAACCACGACGGCGATGTATATCGCCATGAAGTACCAGTACCACCAGTCGCTCTCCTTGTCGTGAATATCATTGTCGGTGAGCAACGCGCTGCGTTTTTCCGCTTCGTGTAAGCTGCGGGCCCTCTTTTTCCAATATTTCCAGGCTGGCCGCTTATCTTGGTAGACGGGTCCCTTGCTAGACGTTTTGGGTTTGGAGGCTCCTGCCATTCGCTTGCGGATTGAGCGTTGGGCCCATCTTTTCAGGGCTGCAAGGTTGCGGCGGAGGAAGGCGAGATTCATAAGGAGGATTATGGTGCCAAGGGTGACGGCGAGAGCGATTCTGACGAGAGCTTTTGCCGGAGATGGCCAATGGAAGTCTTGTATGGCAACAATACTCTATGGATACTGGGTCAAAATACTAGCCGTTGGCTTATGAGAGGGGGTAGAGACGCACGGTAGAGAACGTTAAGGGTAAATAAATAGCTGTAACAACAGCAAAAAGGTTCACTGTGTGCGCAAGTTGTGTGGAGGTCCTCGCTTCTCGGAGCGCTAGCTCGCTAGACAGCTAATCTCATCATCAGCACATCTCTCCCCAATAAACACCGTCAAGCCGTTATGGGGTGCTTACAGATTCCTTAAGGGTCTTAATCCGGTCGATCCGCTCCTGTATGTCATCCGCCATTTTCTCCAACCTTGCACAACGCGCTCTTACATTCGCTCGGTACTGAGCAACCTCGTTTCCAAAGCGCTTTTGGTCCTTTTCGGACCACCGAGGTTTATACTTTCGTCCATATTCTGCTGATATCCACATAGCTGCAATTTTACGACTCGCATTACACTTATCTCGCAGAGCACTATAAACATCAAGCAGCCATGGATAGAATACACTATTCTTGTTCATGGTTTTGAAATAGTTCTCCCCTCTGAGGTCATCTCCCGTCAGTAACGGGCTGAAAAGTTCTTGCGACTTCTGCTTCGAACGATTATTCCATCAGCATATACATAACACCATTAGCACGTTTTATATTAATAAACCTACATTGTCTTCCCCCATAGACTTATTGATAGTATCGAGGATAGTCTTGGTCTGTGAAAGGACTAGATCGAGAGCCTGGCGCACAAGAAACCCCTCAAGACACTTTCTTTGGCTCGGAGTCTTACAAGACTCGATCCGTTCCACTCGAGTCCAAGCATCCGTGGTAAGTTCTTGGCTTCCAAAATCGTAAAACACATAGCATGTCCAGTACCGGTCATGCAGGTCACCTATAATGCGGAACCCCATAGCAGCCTCGGCCATGATGCGGTCTGGCGCGGCGTCTTTCATACTCAGGAACTTTGCCCGTCTCCTCGGAAAGTAGTTTGGAAGGAGGGGTGACTCCACATCCGCCTGAAATGGGGCAGTGATGAAATTGATGTTGAATTCTGTAATCCAGAGATTGTCTGGCATAATGGTCTTCATAGTTGTTAGCCACTATAAGGGAATTTTGTTGAGAGCAGGCAGATTGACATACCTGCTCTACAAAACTCATCTTGTGACGGTCCATGTGGCGCAGCTGCGAGAGAAATTCATTTGTATGGCCGGCTTCTTGAAAGTTTAGGCTGCCCATTAGGGAGATTAGATGCTCGATCGCGCAGTCCTCCATTACTCTATATTAAACTGTTAGACGAGGTTCTGGTGTGCGTATAGGGCATGTGGAGGAAGGCAAGTGGGTACAAACATTATCCTTTTTTTATCTGTTCCGCGATCCCTCTGCCCTCCAAAAGTTAGTCAATCCATATCATAACTGTAGGGAGATTGTTTCTCATACTTGTTCCTGCAACTTCGACAATGCCTCACCCCCGTGTATGGTTTCGATCAAATCTCTGTGTGCTCTAATTAAGGTGTTCTTTTCATGACCCCATTCATAATTCGGGATATTTGCTATACTCTCCAAAAATTTGTCCTTTCCATCCTCTGTTTCCCAAAAGCAACACCAATTACCCCAACTCTCTCCCGGTGCAAAAATATACTCCGGCTGCAAAAGCTCTCCAATCAATTCCTCAATTGATTCGAACCTCTCCGGATTGTGCTTGATAAAGAGAGGCTCCCCGAACCAGTACCACTCGCCATATGCTGTTCCGATTAGAACAGACATAGTATCCCCATGGGGTTTTGGAAACCACTTACAAGGTGGATCGTTCACATGAAGACCGTCCTCGACGGTGATATCCAGGCCCTTGCCCTCCTTTCCGGGCTCACTTCCCTCCCAACGAGCGGTTGTACTGGAATCCTCGCGAGGATTTCTGCGGACGCTCCCCAAACCTTCCTTCAGGGGCGTGGATTCCCGTGCCCAGTCGGCGCGGGTGGGAGGATCTATAATTCTTTGGTTGGAAACATTAGTTGGTGGTTAAGACCCTCAGAATTGTTTAGATAGAGTGGTCCAGCTTACTTAGGAATTCTTGACTGAGGATACGCTAACTCAGCATGGTCCGCACTGAGAACATATGTAACAATGTCCCAAGCTTTGATCTGGGGACAATGGGAGCCAGGGGTAACCACTCCACCAGCAAAAAGTCCAACTGAATAAGCGCTTGCCTCCAAAGATTCCCTCAGCTCCTGACGACGATTTCTGTCAAATGCAAGCTGGTAGCGCATAAAGGATTCCCAGGTGTCTGGTGTTTGTGCCTTAACAGAGTCGTTGAATGTATCGCAGTATCTGAGTGTCTCTATCCAAGCAGATATCGGCTTATTGTTGTCGTCGAAAAAGAAATCATCGACAACTGATGGAATAGCAATAGTGCAATCGCGTTTCTCCCGAAAGGGTTCTCTATTATGGCCCTTAATTTTTGAAATAAAAAGGTCAGGGAAAGACCCTTGACTCGTGCCAGTACCAGAGGTGCGGAAAACCTCTATCGTCCAATCTCTAATTGCCTTTTCGTTTAAGATTTGGCGATCCATGCGTTTAATCCAGGGTTGATCATCTGGAACTAATCTAAGTAGTCTATTTGTAGCCTTAACGGCCCGCCAGACAAGCACTTGTGTCGCGATATCATATACATAGATACCCTGCCCACCGTAACAGGAATTCCGATAACCCGGCCCCCTCCGGAAGCGGGCATAGGGCGGTGGGAGTTCCCTCGGGATCTCTAACCGATCTGGCCATAAATCGGATCCTCGATGCTTGCTCATCTCAATTGGCTCCCAAAATGGCTCTAGAAAGACTCCCACTGTTCGAGCGATCAGAGGCTTTTCATCCGGATAGTTGGTCGAGCACCTATCTAACAGAACAAGGAGTCGGCACAAATTATGGAAATTATCTTCGTACTTAGATAGCTCTGGCTCAAGGGGCTTTCCAGGGGTAGGATTAGTGAACTTTTCAGTTTTTCGTGGGCGTGACGTGCTTGCTTTCTTGGTCCCACTGGTGGATCCTGGAACCCCTGCCGATAATGGTGGGTCCGTTTTAGGGTCCGTTGAATCCACCTTTGCAGCAGGAGCCGCGATTAGACTCGAAGGCTCCTCAACCTCGGTGTTAGGGGATTTCTCTATGGGTCCTCTCGGCACATCTTCCTCTTCCTCACTCTCTATCTCCCCTGCAAGCTCCCCAGTCTCGCCCTGTTTCGCAGGCGGTGCAGGCTTCCCGGGCCGATGTGGGGGAACCGTCTCAAGAGAGCTGTTTCGTTCGGTATATGATAGTTGCAAAATAAAGCTTCCAAAAATTACCTTCTTAATCCTCTTACGGTAATGCGATTTTGTTTTTGGATCCGCAGTATTCTGCTGTTGCAGAACCTTATCAATTTCGAGGAGGTAAAAAGCCTGATCACTGCATCTTTTAGGCCTCTGCAAGCCGACTAGTGGGAGGCTGGGCTCTTGGAAACTTACAGAAAACTACTCAGTGTGAGATATGTATTTACCAGATCATGATTGGGTAGAACATAGGGCTCATAGGTTTCGTTACGGACCGGAGGTAGTGATATAGCGTGCGAAAGTATTGTCTCAAGACTTCGCCTGAAAATGAACGACGAGGATTCAGTCTTGAAGCTCCACCACCGGTCATCAAATAGTTTTAAGCGAGGAGATATATCGAAATGCTGTGGTGGTGGGGTATTGCCCTCATTTTCGTGACCAAATTTGAATACCGAGGTAAATTTCACCTTTCCCATTGGTTTCAATGGGATAATCTCGCGATGTCTTACTGGATCGTCCGAGAAAATCTTAATGTTGCCCCAGGGAAGGTTAAACGACTTTGGCTTACCATCTTCGAATAAGCTTGCCGTCGCGTAATAGCAGCCGTGCCAGACATTCCAGTAGGATCCCAGGGTTTCTCCATCTGACCCTCGCTCCAGAAAATGGTAGGGAGCATTCCCCTTCCTGAAATTTGGTTGGCGCATAATCCCAGGAGCAATCCTGATTCCAACGCTGAACTCAAATTCCAGACTGAGCTCGATTTCCTCGCCAGATTTTGAAGCCAAGCACATATCCTGAATAATTTCGCCATTCCGGATATAATGCTGCAAGACGACATCGACTTTACCCTCCACGGTGTAGCGTACCTCTGGCCATTTATCGTTCCTATAGTAGTGTTCGGGTTCTGAGATGTTGGTATTATCTGAGAATCGAAGTCCGAGTCCCTGATTCTCCATGCAAAGTGCATTGAATTTATCGTGTCTTCGTGGATATGAAGGGTTATCGTTATAAAACGAGACACTGGGTTTCCACTCCGGGTTATCCGGCTCCCACCCTAGGGTTCTCCTTTTAGCCTTTGAAAACCCCTCCCCTCCCTCCTCGTCTTCCTCCTCTTCCTGTTCGAGTTCGTCGGATGTCTGCGTTGGCACCATATATTCGAGTCGAAAGATATTTCGTGGCTCTATCGAGATATAATGCATGCTATCAAGGCCACTGCCACCCACCAGGAAACTACTAAGCTGCAGAAATTGGCCCCATTTGTTGAGAGCTGCGTTCGTGCCACCTTTTGCGAAATCGAGATATTGAAATAATCTTTCCGCGGTGTCTAGTTTTGAGAGACCAATTTCCTGTCTTGGTGACTCACGCTTTTCACCCTGCGATTGATCTTCGGTGGGTAGGTTAATACCAAAGAGCCCTTCAAACCTGTCGCAACCAGAGCGACGTACCTGGAGCGGTCGCTATGTGCCTTGTGGGAGAACCCAGTGGGGAGGCCATGATGGGTTTTCGCAAAATGGGTCTCTTCTTGATCGAACGTATGCGAAGGTGTAGAATTGTGGTCCAAATACCTATAATCAAATATCAAATTTTTTCCACTGATACCACTATCTACTTATGTCCTGCAATGTTCGCCTGCCGGATCCAATAGCTCGAGCTTCTGGGGTAATACAAGGCTAGCAAGAAACTCCCGGTGTCTCCATAGAAATCGGAGGGATCAATACAGTACCCCTGTCATGCACTGTCCGCGAGTACAAGCACAAAACAGCAAAATATAGAATCACCCAATATGGGTTGGCAGTCCAAGAACCTGTAATGTCTGGAAAAAGAAAAGGGAATCTGAAACTAAGGACAGAACATTGCGACATTGGTGCAACCCGGGGAAATTTATAGGAAGCTGGAATATACCGATATAAGTTACTGCAGTATCCAAATTTTCCTTTGCTGACCTGCAATCCACACTGCCACGGCAGGAGTCGCCCAAAACGCGAAAACCAAACTCCATGACTTCCAGGTCCCACACCCCCCTCCCACGGAGACCTTCAGCCAATAAGGAGCGGGGAAAAATACGCACCACGAGACGCGTTGCTCTTATTCAAGTTTATAAGCTATCATACTTATCAATAGATTCTTGTGAAATATCGCCGCCGGTTGTCGCGTCTCGTTTTTTTATCATACCCAAAAAAAAAGCACCGAGCATTCAGCAAGTGGGGGTATCGTGAGCAAAGACGTGTATGTATGTTGCCTTCAACTTGAGTAATCCTCCATCAACTCATTATCTGTATGCGACAATCTAATACCTACGAAACCCCACAAGAGATTCTGTACCGATGGGGCAGAACATTTTTTCCAAAATGTTTAAGCATCACCCCACGCCAGCCCTGAAAATGATAGATGGCCATACAGTATATCGATAATACTTGTATCATAGCTGCGATGCGGAGGAGAACGAAGAACATGCTATCACACATATGCAACTACCAGATTGATGGCTAAAGTGTTACGACCGATTGCAAATACGAATTAAGACAAATCTTCTCACAGGAACAGAAATAGACTTCAGTTATTTTCCCAAATGGCACAAACTCCCTCTCTCCGTTGTTCCGGATACCCCTTTGTCCCGG